ACAAAAAATAGAAACAAAAAGGAAAGAAAAGATTCGTACAGCTCAAAACTGGACTACTCTACGCAAAATCCAAACAAAAGGATGTAGACAGAAAGACGAATATAGTAGAATCTAATTAAAAAAAAATTATATATATATATATATATATGTTTTCAAAATATATGACAATATGTATGTATGTCTCGGTATTGAGACAGTTCAATGTGTTTATTCATAAGACAAGATAAGACAAAGAGATAAATAGAGAGAAAGAGAAAGAGATAGAAAAGAAAGAAATTCGTAACCGAGTGTACAGTGTCGATAGAATATTTTTCGTATTTTCTTCTTTCTTTTCGTACATGAATGTTGTATGACAGTCCGTATAGTTGTCAATTCTGTATACATGTTGTGTCGCGTGACTTGTGTGAGAGTATCTGTTACGGTACGTTTACGTGTGTGACAGCCGTTGGCAGCGAGAACTTACTCGCTGGCTTGGGGAAATGTCATCCCGGTAAAGGACGGGGAGAGGGTTTCCGTGTACATCTCGCAGCCCGTGCCCTGCAGGTAATCATTCTGCCATGCCTGTGTGTCCGGCGACTGAAACACCAACCAACCAGACCCCACGTCATCAAACTTTCATGATCCACGTCGCGTGTGAATGCGCGGCGGAAGAGCATCAGCTGCGTGTGAGCTGCTACCCTTCCCGGAGGGAGAGAACATTTCGCATATATTTTCTAAACGAGAGATCGCGATTCGTCCGATCGCGATATGTCCGTCTGAAAAAAATTTATCATAGAACGCGATAACTGATCTTATTCCTTTTTTCGATAATAATTTTCTTTGAAATCTTTTCTTTAAAACGTTCGTTATCGAAGGAACTGTTTCTGACCGAGAGACAGAATGTAGGCCAGGACATTCGGGATGCCGATCCCGAGTGGCGCGGTTCGCGTTGCGTCGTGTCGTCGCACGGCGATCATGCATGATGATGCATTTCGCAATTATGGCGACCGACCGGGGCGAGAGTTATTATCACCGTCACCGGAACGAACGAGCGCCGTTAACGATCACATTCCAAAGGCCGTAATTCCGGGGGCGAGCACGCGCGCATACACTCACACTCACTCAGACGTACATATATGTATGTGCATATTCGGGAGCGCATAGAGCGCTTGATCTCTTCCAAATTCTCTGTCCCACCCCACCTATCAATCTCAGCAATTTGTCGATTGATCGAAGCCTGACCATTTCTCACGTTTTCCTTCCTCTGGCTACACTTGCACGTCCCTCTTACACGCGCAAGCTCTTCAATTACGTTGATCTCTTCGTAGTGTATATATAGTAGAACTCTGAAGTTCGCAAAGAGTGCGCTTTCATTGATACGAACGACGACGAGGACACATTTTCGATCTTCTCGAGCTATATCATTTTTCAAGATGATGATTTTCAGAGTTCTAGATTCGTAGTACAATATTTTGACTATTGTATTTATTTTTCTAAAATCAATCTGCCAGTAATACCTTTGTGAAAACAAATGACACAATGAGCTACTGTTGAAAAAAGTGATTCTTGAAAAATACTTGAAAATATTTATTTTCTGTTTAACTTTAATTCAAATAGCATTTTTCAAGAGATGAGATTTTATTTTTTTCACAATTCCACATTTCTTTATTTTTCTAAAATACCTGAAACTAGAAATCCTGAATCATATGCTCGTGTGTTAATCAATACAACAGTAAATACGTTGTTGCAGGATTGTATCAAAACTTGGATCAAAGGATTGCTCTATGAATCTAGCAACTCTACCTCTGACGAGATGGAAATTTGACCGCCATATTTACCCGCTCGCCGCTATAATGGTTTCCAGTTTGGTCTGGTTTAGAAACTCTATAACAAGAATCGGATCAAAAGCTTTGAATGCTCTACGATTCCATTGCCTAACGAGATCAAGATTGTATCATCGTCAGTCGTTCCTCCTTCCATTCGCTTACTCCGTTAATTAATGTTATTGTTACAAGTCGTTCAAAGTTATATGTATATATCAATTGCAGAGAGGGGTGAAAATAACAGATACGTTACTGAAGCGATGAAGGGGTGGTTTACATCGATTAGGTGTAGCACAAATATGGTTTTGTACAATATAGTAGACACGTTTATGTATTATGTTGTAATATACACACATATGTATTTATGCGCGGAGGTCTCCGCGCTCCGTTGTATATGTGTGTATTTACGTATATATAATATATGTATATATACGTTTACGTTTATAGCGGAGTGGAGCGTAGTGAAAGACATAGGCGAGGCGAAGCTTCATCCCTTTCTTTTTTTTCCGATTCAAGAGACCACGGACCTTTTTCGAAACTACTTTGTTGTCGTTAACATGATCGCAAAACGAGCCTGCAAAATATATGGCGGCGATTTTCGCGAGCAAGTCTCACTACTCAAAGGAATTCTTCGCTCGAGTATCCCTCGAGATTCCATTTGGATGAGCTATGCGCGGTGAAACCCTGAAGAGTTTCGTTCGTGTCTCACAGCAGCGAGTAGAAGAGCCATCCATTTTCTATGAACTTTTTACATGACCGCAGAGGGACTCGACATAAGTCGAGAATAAATAGAACTATTTTAACTTGAAAATTGAAACTCATAAGTTTAATATTTATTTACTGTAATTATAACTTGTAAAATAACTTTGTTTGCGCCAAAGAATTTTGTTAGATTGTATCTAACAAACAGCTTAAACGGCTTGAATGGTTTATGTTAGGAGTTTTAATATAGCGGAAAGAAAATTTAACTTTTTCGGAAATATTATATATTTATTTTTAAATCACAGAATTTATATATAAGTTCACAAAATTTATTCTAAATAAAATTTATAATTGTATATATCTTTATATATCTTTCTTTAAATTGTGTGATTGTGTGGAAGAAGATATTAATTCTTGTTTTAATGTCATTACGATAAACAGAACAAAATACTTTTCTTTCATTATTTAATTATTATTAGAGTGACACAAAATTTAATATAAAATGATAAGAGGATTCAGTTTGTAAAACTTATCTAAGTTGCTAATTTTGAATCTCTCTGCGGCATAAAAGCGCAACATACAACGTAAAAAGTTCATAAAAATAATGAAAAATCAGGCTCCCTGTTTTTCCTCATTAGATGACAAAATCGATCGCTACGCCACGTGTTTGCTGCGTCACTGGCTGAAGAAGCAATGAATTAAAAATAATCACACGCGCGCCACAACATCATTATTGATACGAAATTAGCGATCATATCGACGGTTCCGTACGTTTCCCGTGGCGACTTATTCCATTGCCGCGCAACAAGAAAGAAACGGACATCACTATGATGAAGCAAGGGAATATAAAGGTAGCGGATACAGCGCAGATACGAGATCAAACACGGTGGACAATCAGCGATAGCGATCGAAAAAATCGCACCCGATTGAAACTTGGTCCCGTCTCTTGAATCAGACGTATGCGCGGACTATCTGCTGGATGTTAGATTGGTCCATAGACCGACTTACTCAGTGGCTTTCGCAAAGGGCATTCCAATGAAGGTAGGGCTCAGTGTCTCGGTGTACATCTCCATTCCAGTTCCACGCAGGTAGTCATTCTGCCAATCCTGCATATCGGGCGACTGGTACCAATCAACCAACCATTTCTAAATCACACACGCTCCTATGCATGTACGGATTGTGCGCGTATGTCCACAGTGAGGTGCTCGTGCCCGATTACTTCCGGTTGTGACGTGACATGATGCGAATCTCAAGTCACTTCCGCGAATCGCGTGACGATGAAACGCGCGCAAATGATTTACACGATTTGCGAACCACGAGGTAAGAGTTATCGGAAGTAATTTTATCAATGACGATATCAAACGATTTATCTCATTTTGTAGCTAAAAAATTTGTACGTTCAAACACAAATAATCGCAGAATCGACAGGATTTTGCGGAAAAAAAAACGGTTGATGATGTAAGATTTCTTTTATATACCCGATCACTGTGAACAGTTCAGTCGTAACAAAGACCTATACGGAGGAGTTGCGTTCAGACATGCATAGATTAAATGGCAGGTGCACTGCCGGAGAACGACGTTTTACTGACCGTCTTGAAGGATCGCATCGCGAAGAGATTCGCCATCATTGTGCTGAATCCAGGCGCGAGGCAGGACTGCGCGATGAAACCTAGTTTCAATTCGGCCAGACATATGACGTCGTCACCCTGTTTCCAGTCCCACGATGGAATGTTTAATAAGTAGGCCTGGAACACGATACAGTACACAAGATTAGAATTGTTATTAATAAAAACATATAATTGTTGCAGAAAATATATTTTATTCTTGAAATATATGTACATACAACTTTGGAAAGTAACATCAACTTATATCCTTGCTTTATAAATCGCATTTCGTTTGAAGCTAGAGCTTATAGCCGAGCTTTTTTTTTCGATCGCTCGACAGTGGTTACCTTGTTGTGATACTGCATTAATTGAATGATAACGCGAATGTCATCTGAATAATTCTTGATGGAGATAACGCGCATGATGTTCGCTGCGTCTTCCGCGTCCGGGTCCTGGCAGTACTTGTTCGCCAGTACTAAACACGCGTCCGCCTCATGTACCTAAAAAGCATGAAGATAATCCGTTTTATGCGGTCCGTTGCTTCGTTTTGTAATCGATTAATAGATGGGAAAAATGTATATTGGGCAGGACGTTGGTCTTAAAGCGATAGCAAAATAGAATAGAAGTTGCTCCATGAACGTATATTTGAAATCGGTGTAATAAGTAATTTTAGATTTTTCAGTAGAATGTTATTATTTATTAGTATGTTCATTTGTGGAATATGTATGCAGGCATTTAAAAAAAAAGTTATGACTACTGTGAACTTGGTATTAATACTAAAATGCAAAATGCAGGATACCTTAAATATTTAAAGATATTTTTTTAATTTTAATAAATACTGTGATTAATTCAAAATTTAATTCTTTGATGCCTGCAAAAATCACCTCGCATTGTTTCTTCAAATTCCAAAAAATGTAAATGGAGTTATGAAAAGACAACTGAAAATCATAAATCAAAAAGATGCATATATTATTCTATAAAATTATTATACAATGACGTAAAAAATGTAAGCTTTTTATTCTATTTAAAAAATCCAGAATTACTTATTATATAATTCAATAAAATGGAGCGAAAAAGATAAAATTATCGATTAATTAATTAATAAAATCGTTATTATCAATAAATTATGTTGATTTATCAACAAAGAGAAAAATGACTGTTTGAAACGCGTCGCGATCATCGAAATTAGTACGGTGCGTGTAAGCTGCTAAATCTACTGATCGTCGATCTACGATTATATTTAGAAAGTAATTTTTCTTCTTATATTTATTTGTACAAATTTTTTTCCAAATTAGAAAAATTTTATATGATGGACACAGAGAGCATCGTCGAAAATACAACATATGAAACGGAAAATTCTTCGATATAAAGGGTACTATAAAAATATGCATCTACAATAAAAGTTATATAAAAGCATTCAATGACACAACAATGGCTACAAATATCGAAGATTCGCACGGCTAATATAATTAATCATTTCACAAAATATGAGATAATCAAGTTAATTGAATTCACAAAAATTTATCAAATCTGAATTGCAACGATTTGTTTCGTGTATATTACTTAATTTAATTGCCAATTATAATTGTGCGTCTGACATAATCTATAATTTTACAATTTATTACTGTCAACAATTTCATGCGCGATACATTTTATTTAAGAATTTACTATTCTTGAATTACATAAGATATATTTAGAATATAAATATTTTGTAAAATATTTATTTAATAAAAAATTTGATTTAGTATAAAGTAACATTTACAAAAGCAATGAGACATAAAGACGTCTCTGAAATTTCCTTTGTGCGCACCTTCGACGCAGCCGTAGAATCGAATAATAATTGAAAATATGAAAGCGATTCTATGGAACATTCCTTGGATGTGCAAACATCATCGATCATTGGGGGGGGGGGGGGTTAGAGGTCAGTCGGTTCGTCTAGGTTCTATACATCTGAATAATGGAGAAGCGCCTCTATCTACATGCTAAATCTATCGGCTAACAAGATGTTGGCATTAACCTCGATTGTGTAAAAAGAAACTACACAAACAGAGAACGTACCGTCCCGTCTTCGTCAGTGCAGGATCGATACACTTAACAGATACCACGATCGACTATCCCACCAGATACTAAGTCTCTAACAGAAACTACCGTCTGGAAAGTAATCGTCTGGTAAACCAGTCTCTCCACGAGAAATACACGGGCACTTACCCACTCGGGTTGACAGCAGGCATGGGTCTATCCAGTAGATGCAATACAACCTTAAAGGGACTTTTTTCACGTGGATATGCATAAAAGTGTCTCCGTGTGTGTACGTGTCTATGTGTTGGGAGAAATTGACGTTGCTTTCCTCTCGGATTTGCTGCCGGGTATGTATTGATAGAAATAGGGGATGAGATAGATAGACAGAAAGATAGATAGATTGATAGACAGATAGACAGAGACTATTAGACCGGGACGACGTTACTGAGGTGAATACGTGGGGCCGAATATCGGGTTTTTGATCGTGGGCGCTCTCAGATCTGCAACCTCGATTGTTTTATATAAAACCTCGCGGATAATTGATCGAATCTGAGACCAGCCATTGCAAATTGACGAGACACGAAAGCGGACGACAGTATACGAAGACGCGCCGGTGGAGTATCATGGTGTAACATCGTCAATGTGTACGAGCATAAAGGGAAACATACAGGCAACAAACATCCTGGAACAATAGCGTTTGTTATCCGCACAACGTCATTTCCCGAACGTCTACCGATCGCCCACGGTAGCAGCTGTTTGCTACTTTCACGTCATCGATTTTTCCAACGAACAACTCGAGCAAATTACGATCTGCTTATGTCGTCTGCAAACATCGTCAGTTTCAAGCTTTCACGAATTTGCTTATATAAAACGGAAATGACATATGCGATGCGTATTATAAATATTTATTTCAAACGTCTCTAATAGTATTTGAAATTTCAAAACGGTGTTCTCTTGTTAGAATATGTGTATTACAAGATCAAATAATTTCAGAGACACAAGAAAATCTTTAGTAAAACACAAAACAATCAACAACAGATTCAGATTAATACAATGAGATTTCAGAATATTCTAAATTGTTTAAAATAAAAAGCGTTAATTCTTTTCTAAACATTAATTAATTACGCGATAATAAAGCGCTGGTACCGTGCGCGCCAAGATAGGACGATCCGATGGGTCATAGGACGTCAAACATATAATAGAAAAGGAAAATCGAAATATAATAAGAAAGGGACCGTTATATGTAACAGGATAGAGCTGTTTAAGTATATATATATATAGAGGGATTTAATGCTCATATCTTGTATCGAGGACATAGATTGTTCGATCGTGGTAACAAACTCACCTTAACCCGCTGTAGATCAATCGGGTTCATGATGGTCCCCTGAAAGAACTCCACGGTGGTGAAGTGCCGCTTGAACAGTCCTTCCAGTTCGAGATCAGGCGGTTTCCTGAACGGATCCGACAAAATGATATGATTTCTTTTATAAATAACATTCACCTCAGCTGTCGACGGTCGCGTCCTTTTTTGCGAGAATATCGGTCGAGTAGGCCGACAGAGGAATCGGCGAAGATTTCGTTAGAACGTGAATGTAATACAAATTCGTTATGCATACTCGTAATTTTTGAAGAAAAGTCATGTGTTGCATTGTTTTCGATTCGTTTAAGTTGTCTTGACGATGATTTCCATTTTAATCAAGCCGAAATCATGACAGATTGAACGAACTATGGATTCATCCTCAAAAGGAACGAGTATGCTGATATATAATAATAAATCTCTAAGTAAATTCTCTACTGCAGCTGAGTCGGCTCCATAGCTCAATACAGCATACCATGCAGTCGCAGGCGGTTGCTTTGCTACGTATATATATATATATATGTATATGTATATATAGATACGTATGTATCATTCGTCGTCCGGTGCCGCGTCGTTTTTGCATTCACAGAGTATACTCGAAAAGCCTCACTTTATATGACCATATTGCGAGCTCCAATATAGTAAACTTGAACAATCATCGGAGTTTCACGCGGAAAACCGCAGGAAAATGTGCTCCAACGAAGCGAACTGAAGTTTTCAATCATGCCGCACCGGACGTTTCGATTCAGTTCATGAAAGAAAGAAGAAAGAGAGAAAGAGAGCGAAAATCGAGAAAGAGAAAAAGAGAGAAAGAAAGTAAATCTAAAGAATGTAGCGAGCATTTCGTATGATTCGCGGACGTATGCGTACGCACGAATCACCAGATATGAGAGATTCTATAAAAAGTAACGATAGCGATTATATATAGTATATTAACATGAGACTGCATGACGTGTGACATAAATATATATGTATGTAAATATAGATATATAATATATATATGCATAAGAGATACATAAGTATATATATATATATCGATCGACCATCACGGCGTGTTATACCCAGGCGAATAACCGTGTAATAACCTAAAGAACTGCAAGGAAACAAGAAGCACGAGCGGCCACGTGGAGGGCATTGATGGAGGGTTGGTTGGTTGATGGAGGTTTTCGTGTGGTGGTTGTTCTAGGGTTCAGGGTACCTTGACGCGCTCCAGATCCACGGCATTCATCATGGTGCCCTGAAAAAACTCCACGGTCGTGTAATGCCTCTTCAGGAGACCCTCCAATTCGAGATCCGGTTCTTTCCTGAAAGAAAGCAAACCACTCCTTACGACTATAGCGATCAGACTGCACGGGCAACCCGTGAAAAGCGGCCGTTTCACTTATCCTTCACGTTACTGGACAATCCGATCCCTTGATGGAGAATTTTTGTTTGTAATTTGAAACTTCTCTCTTGCTAGAATATAACGAAGTTTTACGGTCGATAAAACACGGAGCTAATGGAGTCTGATCACTTTAAGTCGCTTGGCGACGGAAAATCTCTCGAAGGGCGACATATACTCACCACAAAGTCGCTATATATATATATATATATATGAAAGAAATGAAGAAAGAAGTTAAAAATATTTCAGAGACTCGGGTGTTGTAATTAACAAATAACAGTTTTGTTTATGTACGAATAAACAATGATATATTATTACCGGAGTAAAATGCATAAAATTTTTATTTCCTGTAAAAATGTAAATAGAGTATATTGTGTGTGTTATTGCATTTAATAGAATATTGTCAAATAACATATCAATGACCGCCGTTTGCACACGCGTTAACAGATGATACATAAAACTGATAAATGATATAAAATGATCAGATGAGCGATAAATTTTATAAAACACGTTTACGCCAGGAGATAACCCTTTCGAAACTACCCACGATATTAATCGTGACACGAGATATACAATCCAGTAATGTCGAAAGGGTTAATGCCGCATTTGACGTAAACCGGCAAAGATATCAGTTTTACAAAAGCAGCGGTCATACCTATGCAAGAAGACAACTTCTACGTCGACGTCCTCGCGATCCTCATGTAGGAAATCCTTGAGGAAGTGCGAGACCGATTCGTAGGTGATGTGGCCGCACACGACAATATGTCTGCCAACACAATGAGCAAATTAGACGACATTCTTAAAGAGACGGTATTAATGAATGACATAGGAAAAGAAAGGGAAACTCTTTCAAGCAACTACCATATACACGTTCTAAGTAGTATAAGTCAACTACAGACCTAATTATTCAAATTGTTCTCTCTCTTGCTGCAACTTTTGTTCACTTTAATCTGTTCTTTCTATTGAATAAACTTTTTCGAAACAAACGCATATTTATCACGTTGTCTTCCAATATATATATGTGTATGTATTTATTTATAAAGACAGACAAATGATCACACCAACAAAAACAGCGGAACAAGAAGAGAGAGAGAGAGAGAGAAGAACGTTGATACTGATGAAAAATTATTTTTTATTTTTTTCCTTTGTGCCATTTTAGTCTGCTGCCACAGTAAAATCTTTGTTAGAAGTTACTCTATTTAAGATTAATTATATTTACCGATATATATATAGCTTAAAAAAAAAAGGAATAAAACATAAATTTACATTAATAGGCATTATTTAAAAAATATAATACTCAATGAAATCAAATGAGCTTATTTTAAAAAATTAAGATGGTCATAAAAAAAGTAATAAAAAAATAAAAATTACTTGGCACTAGAATAACGCATACTCTGTTTGAAAGAGTCACGCACATAGTTATTAAAAATAAGTAATAAATCAGTGGACTAAACTTACCAAGATTGCGCTAGGAATTGGGGGGAGTGATTCATTTTAACCAGTTAAATAATTACCAGTAAAATAATTACTATACACATACCTATATGATAAATTAGTACCGCTAAATATATATATATATATATATATATATATATATATATATATATACATATATATATATATATAATACATACACAAGTCAATCTAATAAGTGTTAGATCAAATACGCACGGGTATACAAGCTCATTCATGTGTTAGTCACCGCTATGTATGTTAAGAACAAAACTCTCTTCTACATGTATAATTTCTACGTGCTGTGTATTCATATCGATAGTGAGAGACGTATTCCTACATCTATAAGTGTCACATAACAAGTAAAACCAATTTGTAAGTGGTGCCCAAAGATAATCAACGGACTCGCAAAGGAAAAATAGCGGAGTTCGACCATGATCATTCCATGCTTTATGTTATCTACTCGGTGATGTTTGACATTTGGCTTCATCATGAACTCAGTAGTTTTCCGTATCGCGCGATTTCTCTTATCACTTATGGGCTACGCGATAGGTGCTACTGAATTCAATGCGAGCCCGACAATACTCGAGCAGAATTACTGATTACTTTTGTTCTAAACGTAAAGGGGACCGACGCCGTGTGCGTATCGAGATGTGAGCATGTGTCGTGGGTATGAGCTGTTGCAAGTCGTTTTCGTGTATCGACCGCTGCCCAATTGATGATCAAGTGGAATTAACGCGGATTTGTCAAAAATTGGACGCGCCCGTTGTATTGTCCACGTGAGAAAAATCAGATGCTCATACGTGTTCATACAATGAAAGTCGAATTCCCGTGAGTCTTCTAACGTGACGTGAAATTATTCACACAAGAGTGTTTCCTGCAATCGTTCCGTTATTAGAGCATGTCTTTATGTAATCAGAACGTTTAATTTATTAAACACGCTTGCGATTAGATGAAATTGATCCAGAATCATTAAACCATAGTATTTGACGGCCAGTATCAACGAAATGTCGATGAAAAACGGTGCGCAGCACGGATGACACGCCGTGAAGGACGACTAAAAGTGTCAACGGTAATTTTCGCGAGGCATTTATCATCATGATAAAGCTCCTGTAAGTTATTACTATCGTATATGCGCGGATGCGCGTATATCATTCATCGATCGTAGGCAAACGTCATCACGTATTGGGATCAGGTGCTCGAATGATGCGATCAGCAGCGTGTTATTGTCGGGTAGCTTCTTACGAAAGCCACACTTGCGCTAGTTGTGAATGATAGTTGAACCGAAAAGCTCTGAGTTGTTCCTGATCTACGTTGTTCATTTCGGCCCACCGAGGATGTCCTCAACCAGAATCCCTGAGCTACATATAAGACCAGCAATCTCAATAACATATATACATATTTATTTAGGCAGTATATTCTTCTCCATTTTATCCTCTTTAAGATTTACGAATACGCAAAAACGATCATTAATACTGTCTAAAACACCAAGATTATTACACTGAAGTGGTACAACATTAGATTTTATATATATATACATATATTATATGTATATATATATATACATATATATATATATATATATAAAATATATGCATTTAATTATTTGGATAATGCAGGGTACATGCTGGACGTTTAACCCCTTGCACTCGGAGAGAAATACAGCTCGACATATCAAAGCGTGCGATTCGTTTAATAATAATAATCATAAAATCGTTTGACCGTGATGCTCCAACATATATTGAATAATTAACTCAAGAATTAATTGACTCGTGCGAATTTCTGTGGCTTGTCAGTGCAACGCACAACTGTGCCTGCTAAGCGCAAAGTTGTCATATCCGTTTACGACAGATTGCGTTAAGTGTCGTCTCAATTTAAATTCCCTCGAGAACAGAGTTCACGGCTGGCGCAATGATTGCGATATTAGTTAATTAAGCAGAAGCATTAAACGAACAAGTTGATCTAAACATGACATCCCTTGTTAAAATTCACTTAAGACTCGCGCGATTTATTTGCAAAACAAAAAACGTAGAACGTTTCATGCAAAATTTTTTTTTGCGATGATTTTTAATATTATAATAAATATCTCGAAACTTTAGCTAATTTTTTCGCGATTTTTGTTTGTTTCACGTTCTACGCTTAATGCGTATGTCAAACTGCGTGACGAGCCGTATTTGTTCCAAGTGCGATCAGTGTGAACAAACAAGCTAACACCAGTTGCTGAGTGAGGTGGGTAGGATGTAATAGTAGATGGGCAGTCGGGTCTGTTGAAGGGAAGGTTTTGCCGGAGTAGGCTAGAGTTCAGGAATGTTTTTGGAGCGGCGGCTGCACTAAGGCCGACTGACAACTAGTGCAATGAGCTGGTACGGAAATGCGGTTTTGCGATGCTAACACTGATCTCTAAATATATAGATATAGAGTGAAGGTAAGGATTCATAGGAATCGGAATTTCATGATGAGGATCGATGTTTATACGTGCTTCTATCAGAAGACTGCATTCACAGGAGCTAGATAAGAGAGGAATCAAAAAGGAAATCAGAATGTTATGTGTGCGCCCGTGTACCTATGTTAGAAAAAGTGTAACAGAGGCATAACAGATAGATGCTGAGGGACAAGGTGGAAGTTACATAGTCTTTCGTGTACAGGAGGACATTGTAGGTATAATGGCAATCGGGACTGGAATTCAAATCGGGGAAACTAATTGGTTGGTTGTGTCTCTCACCTGCGACCTCGCTCGTTCTTCAAAGTGCCGCCGTACTTGTTTCGCGTCCCGATCAGGTCAATTATCTCAGGGATACAACTGGCGAATATGGCCTACACCACGTAATAGAACAGAACATAACACTCGCATCAATACACTTGTGTGACAGGGTTGGCAGTAGTTTGCTTTTGCTTTTTTTTTCTTTTTACATGTATTTCATTCGGTTGATCGGTCGATTTTAGTTTTTCCGACGTCGTGTCGCGATGTCGGGATGACTAGTAATCATTAAATGCTGGTTACACTGTACGTCTTTTCATTTTTCATTAAATGATGGGGAGACAAGGGGAAGAGGATATTTACATTTATAAACGAAATCAGATTTAGGCTCGCGAAATGCGCAATTGCTGTTAGAGACACGATCAGTGCTATACTGCCACGTCTCCGAAAATTAATGATGTGTGGGTACGAAACACATTATCACCATAAAAGGGCAGGGTAGGTAAACTACCTATATTTGTAAATCCTACACCTATACCTAAGCCTAATGTATACTACATGTGCCAATATGTCTCTACCTAATTTACTGAAAGATCTGTTAATATCCATGTTTTTTCATAATGTAATTTTGTGCGCTCAATACATTGTAGATAATCACTAGAAAAATCATCTCTTATTAGGAAAATTATCATTTTTACAATAACGTATGATCCGCTTAAAATAGCTTTGATTTGTTTTAATACATTATCCTTTTTAAAAATTTTTCTTTCCGAATGCATTTATATTATTTATATATTATATATATAAAAAAGCTATGTCATTATTCGTTTTTTTAAGGAGTCAAGGAATATTACTTATTGCTTAATCAAATAAATATCGTTTGTAACAAATTAGTGAAAAAATTAGCTCGATGATTATAGAGAGCAAATTTTTAGATCTTCAAACATCAACGCGAATAAATTTATAAATGTTAACATAAAATATGTATTATAAATAATGGAAAATTTGATATAAGCATTTTTACAAATAAATTTAATAAATAAAAAAATCCAGAAATTGCCACTAAGAGCATCACAAAACATTTTTAAATACTTTACAATATTTAATTACAGAAAATAATATTAAAGTATTACATTTATACAAAATTTGTATTTTATGTTTTAATAATCAGATGAAAAATTTTAACTGATATTTAAAATCAAAATTGCTTTAATTACGAATTACATTAGTTATTTAGATATGTCTTGTGTCAATCTAAATAAATATCAATTATTCAGTTATATTTATTCACAACTAATTAATTTAAGTCAATCATTATCAAAATTATAGCTCATTTTCCAAGTTCGCGTTACGTTTTCTTATTAGTCCCTATTTACAATGGAACAAAATACGGACTTCTTATTAGAAACTTAGTTAGTGAGCGATGTTAGCGTCTGGTTAATGTTAATTACTCGTTCACACTAGTACAAGATACAATCGACACAAGACATAATAAATGCAAGAATATAACATATATGTATTTTTGCAAAGTCTTGAATTAAATATATGTATATTGTTTTAATCAGGATTAATAATGAATCAATGAAGTTATGCTACAGCACACACATTAATGTCGA